CCTCTCTCCTCCTCTCTGCCCCTCTCTGCCCCTCTCTCCCCCTCTCTCCCCGTCTTTCCCCTCCTCCCTCTTTCAGAAACATGCTCACAAATACACCCACGCTGAATAACTGGCCGCTGTAACTTTCACTATTTCAATTTTGTGCTGAACATTATTGAAACAGGCTATTCTTTATCAAATAAATATTAAAATGCATTGAGTTTTCTTTGACTCTATGGATGATCATATTTGAAAAAGAATTTTAAAAGTATTGGGTCTTTTCCTTTCTATTCTTCTTATTTTTTTAATGGGCAGCTCTACAGAATATACTTTAAATGATCAGGCTACCTGGTATACAGGGAATATTTGGAGTCTTTAAATCTAGTTTCCTGTTTTCCACTTTTTTCTCCTTTTTGTAGATCTTATCCAGAGATGTAGACCGAGTGAAAAGACTCACCATGGCAATATGGAATACAATCCAATTCATTAAAAGCTGCTTCCAGTGGGAATCCACGTTAAGAAGTACAATAGCGTTTGTGGTAAGCTTCCTTTTTATGTCCAAATTATTGGTATTCATTCATCTTTCTGAAATACAATGGAACCTCTGTAAGTTGAGTACCCAGGGTACTGTAGCAAACTGCTCAACATATGGAGGTGGTCAACATAAGGAAACAGGCCTGCCATACTGACATGTGCTTGTGGTGCGTGTCCAGTCTATGAAAATTAAGTCAATTTAAGGAAGTGGTCAACTAGAGAGGTTCCACTAAAGATATTTTTTTTTCTGATTTTTTTTTTTGTTTTGAGACAAAGTCTCATTCTGTCACCCTGGTAGTGTGCCGTGGCATCATAGCTCACAGAAACCTCTGCCTCAGCCTCCCAAGTAGCTTGGACTACAGGTACCTGCCACAACACTCAGCTATTTTTTCTATCTTTAGTAGAAAAGAGGCTGGTCTCAAACTATGGAGCTCAAGCAATCCACCTGTCTCAGCCTCCCGTAGTGTTAGGATTACAGGTGTGAGTCACCACGCCTGGTTAGTTAAGTATATTATAACATGGGCGATTATGGGAGATTGTCTTTTGAGAACATTTGTAGGTGGAAAACACCTTTGGATATCCCTTAAATTACTAAAATCTTACTCATATACCATCTCTTGGTGAGTTTGAGATAGAAAATAGTCTATATATTGGGTGGTGCCTGTGGCTCAGAGGTGTAGGGTGCCAGCCCCATATGCTGGAGGTGGTGGGTTCAAGCCCAGCCCCGGCCAAAAACTGCAGAAAAAAAGAAAATAATCTATATATTTTAAATGCTGCTCTAGTTATTACTATAGCCACATTTGTATAGTCTCTGCATTGTGTATTTTTCTCCTTCTGTGCCAGTGTCTGACAGTGATTTTTGAAAAACAGCAGTGGAAAAATTACATGACTAAATTATAACTGAATTGCTCTAAATTATGTTTTAAGACAATCATTCACAAAATAGGATAATAAAAGCACTTATTTATACCAAGTCACTTGGGACATACTCATCTCTAGAGTTATGATTTGACTTAGCGCTTAAGAGAACCACTGTTGTTTGCAAACTAGACCCTTTGCTCTGATAACACTGGCCCATGTTTAAAAGCATAATCATATCACCAAATCAAAGGGCTGCAAGAGGAGAACCATATAATTCTACCACTGAGATTCTTAGAAAGACTTCAGTGTTGGCACAACCTCACTATATGTCTCTGAGCATTCTCCCTCTTTTGTGAAGGGTCTTGTCCATCAAACCAGTAATGTCAGCCGCAAGAAGAGAAATCAAGTTTCCCAGCTGAAAATCCTTATATGTTGGTATTATACCATTCATTAAAAAATTATCATGGGCACTCCCAGGAGGTATGTGAGTGGTATAGGAGTGACTATAGGTCACGATCATTGATGAGTCCTACTTTTGCATTTTATGTGGGTCTGTCTCATGTTTCCTGTTGTCAGTATAGCCTCCATGGTCTCTCCTACCCCACAAGTTTAGCCTCATGATACATATGTCAGCTATAACTCCCCACACCTGAGATGTCGATGGGTTCAAAGTCACTCTTAACCCTTCTTACTCAACCAAGTCTATCAGCTCCAGAAGATGCTTTCTCTTTGCCATTGGGAAGCATTTTGTTTGCTCTAGTTTATTTTAGTTTTCCCTTGCTTCAGTGTAGAGGACCTATGCTGCCTGCAGGCTGGACCTTTAATATACTTTTCCTGCTGTCAGAAGTTGCTAAAACATTTGGCCTTCATAAAAACATTGCGAAGGATTTTATTAATCCATATCTGTCATTGTCTTGGCATTTATTTAACCACTTCCCTTTCTCATGTTCTCCTTGGTTGGTGGCTGTGTGTGTTGGGTTCCTCTTCAACCTCCCGGGCTCCACTTCCCACCTGAATTCCCTTTCAAAACTTTCCATGGAATGTTCAATGCAATTCTGGGCAAAAGAGGAAAGTGAACACAATTGGTGGCTTCTTCCAGTCAGCACCCCAGCCAGCCGCTGCCAGGAGGAGAGGATTTCCTCTTTCTCAAGTTTAGTTTCTGGCACTGAGATTTTAGAAAAACAGAGCTCTGTTGCCCGGGATTCTGTAGGGGGAATGACAGAAATGATTAATGGGCTGCCTGCCTGATCTGAAGAAAGATTAGAACGAATGAATAGGAATAGGTTGTCTAATGGAAGGGGGTTTCTAAATGGGAAGGGAGCCCTGGCAGTGGGGCTCCTTCTCCGAGGGAGTCCTCCCAGCTGGGCGCCGTGCCTCGGAGTGGAGTCTTCTGCCAGGCTGGTGAAGACAGGCTGCCACATTGCACTGTCAAGTCCGTATGGCTCCAGTGAAAGGAGGATTGAGGTGGTGGTGTCCTGCTGGTTTTCTGATGTATGATTGTGCAAGGCTGTGTGGGTTTATGTGACATTGCAGGCCCCACTATGTGTGCATAGGGGGCATTACCCACTAAACATCATTGGAAAACAATAGTCAGTTAAAAACTCTGTACACATAAACTTTGTTTTGTTTGTCCTGAAGGTGTTTGAGTGGAACGTGCTCACTTAAGTAGACTTTCAATTTTGATTTGAAACTCCACTTTCAAAAGTTTATGTCATGTATGTGCATAAGCTGACCAGCCGTGGTGGAGCTCAGAGCTATGGCAGACACAGCAAGGCAGATACTTAGTTCCCGTCCCTAAGTTGATGAAGTGTAATTTTATTCGCAACTGTTTTTGTTATCATAATGGTCATTCCAATACTGTTCCAGCTGTTAAAGAGATTACAAAGAAAGTGCTTTTTTAAAGAACAAAATAAAAATATGTATTTTAGTTGCCTCCTCTTCTCTTCTTTTTTATTTTATTTTTTAAAGTAAGATTATAGGCAGCCAAGCCTTCATTTGTCAGAAAGCATTTTGCCCTCCTGGATCTTGCCTGTGAACTGGTTAACTGTCTATAGTGGGCTTCTGGGGGTTTGCACAGCTGCTGACTGGCACCACTGTAGTGCTGTGTCCCCAAGTCTGGGGACCTCCATGGTGGGGGCGGCCGGTGCCATAGAGAGAGAGAGGGAGAGAGGTCGTGAGGCTGTTCTCCAGTGCCTTTCTTCACTAGCAGTGTCACATTCGTCAGTGGTGACTTACGTGGACTGATGTTCTCCTGTGATCTGCTGAGGACAGAATGCTGCTTGAGGTCTTTATTCATCATCGTGACACTTTATGCAGGTGCCAACCATCTGCCTTGGCATTACAGGGCAGACCAGCTTGGTGGCCATCTGAAGCAAGGTGTTAAGCCAAGCATTTATCAACTGATAAGACCATATTTGAAGGCCCTTCTCCTCTCATTGAAATCAAGAGAAGCGATATTTCAGGGTTCACTCTGCAGGTGTTAGAGGAACCGTTTTGGTTGAACCAGTCCTCAGTGGGGCTTCTCTTCCCGCGGAGGTGCAGGAAGTGACACACCACAAGCTAAGGGCAAAAACGAAGGGATATTATTTTTCTTTTTTATGAGAAAACACAAAATAGTCTATTAACTTCAGATTCTGGTCTTGATTTCCAGATGATACAAATCCTGTATGATACAAACCCTGTTAAGTATATTCTGAATGTCAACTTGAAGGCAGTGTGAAAGCAAAACATGCATTTTTATGGGTGCCCATATAGGTATGTAGGAGCATAATCGCATCTTGTTGAAAGCATCACTTAAAGCAGGCATCCTCACACTACAGCCCGCGGGCCATGTGCAGCCCACCTAGGACATTTATCTGGCCCCCCACGTGTTTTTGCCACCGCTACCTGTCCTGCTTAGCAGCCGACTCATCCTGGGACCCACAGTCTAGCCCTCCAATGGTCTGAGGGACAATGACCTGGTTACCTGTTTAAAAAGTTTGAGGGCTCAGCGCCTGTGGCTCAGGCGGCTAGGGCGCCAGCCACATGCACCTAAGGTGGCGGGTTCGAATCCCCAGCCCGGGCCCGCCAAACAACAATGATTTATGCAGCCTGGCCGGGCGTTGTGGCGCGTGCCTGTAGTCCCAGCTACTTGGGAGGCTGAGGCAGGAGACTCGCTTGAGCCCAGGAGTTGGAGGTTGCTGTGAGCGTGATGCCATGGCACTCTACCCAGGGGGATAGCTTGAGGCTCCGTCTCAAAAAAAAAAAAAAAAGTTTGAGAACCCCTGACTTACAGAAAAGCAGCCTCTTAGGGTCTAGGTTCACAGGGTGTCTAGTCAGAAGTAGATGGACGAACAGGAGAGAATTCATCTTGTCAGGTGGTCCAAAATCAGCCTCCTCCCCCTTAACATGTAGGCCCTTTATATGTACATGTGTGGTTGTATTCTCAAAATTAAGAGCAGAAAGACATTTTTAATTCACCGTCACCTGCTATGTTAATGTTGCTGCATTCTATTGAATTTGTTGGTATTGTAAGAAATTAAATTTAGGCTGTTTTAGGGTGGACAGACCACTTCAAGACATGTTCCACAGGTTCTATATTTGTTGTCAGAATGGATATGGGCCTATTCACCTTTCCGGATGATACACATCCCTCTGTCTTTGAGTCTTTCTGATTCCCCTAAGTTTGCTAGATATTTTGGTGTGTTGCCTTTTTCTGAGCTTTACTTAATTATTTGTACTAAATTAAGTATTTCTTTCCCCTGCGAAAGTCACATTCTTGACCTTCCCAGTTGAAAGACAAATTAATATGAGATGCTCACTTATTGACAGAGGCCAAAATTACTAAAAGATTGAAGTAAATGTGTCTGTATATTTCCCTATTGATAGATCTGTAAATACACATGGCCTTTCATACACAGGTACTAGGTCATTCTCACAGACTCTGGCTCTCGGGATGCTGATAGTCCATGATATCTCAATGCTTACTAAGTACCAGACACTGTCCCAAGCATTTTACACATGTTAAGTTATTTAGTTCTCATGACAACCTGCTGGTACATGTAGGTGCTGATTACTATCATCTTTTTACAGATCTTGTTTGAGATCAAGTGACAGAGCTCACGTCTCTTTATGAGGCAAGGTGGAGTTTAAATCCAGGCCATCA